TCATTTTCCATTTAAAATTCGAGCAAGTGATCATTTAATGTATATTTGTTATTCAATTATATCGTCTTTTAAGCGTTGATTATTAAAAAAGAAAACACAACCCACTTAAAATAAGGGTTTGAGTTTTAAATTGTGTCTATGGAAAGTAATTTGTTTAATCATAATAAAAAAATGTTTCGAAAAAACATATGGTTGATATACACTTCTTGATTTTCACAGTATTAAAATATTGAACATGTATAGTCATTGATACTTGAAATTAATCCTGTTATACTTTAAAAACACATAATGCGCAATAATTTGAATAAATAAAATAAACTAACAACAACCTAGTAGGTCGATTTGTAGTGCATGCTACTTATGTTTTTCAACATAAGTAGTATATAACACCAATCAGAAGCCTGGTAGCAGAAGGCTAAGAAGTTCGATTTGAAGAAAACAGAAAGAGAAATGGAAAGGAATTATAAGTAGAAACAATCATACAGAACGTGAAGTAGAATTGGTGGAAGATTTGCAAATGAAGTATTTAGTGTATGGTTCTCATATTTTATGAAGATATTCTGTAATTTTGTGTTAAATAACAAACTGGTTGTGTCCATCTGAGTTCTTGTTCACTACAGATTGACGGATACAATTTACGAGTAATATACATATATATAATAGTGTACTGAATGTGAATTTTCATATTATGATTACTGTATATCACAATAACGAGTGACATTTTTATATGAATTTGCTAAATTCAAATGTCAAGCATTTTATAATATACTGTTAGGTTTGGAGCTTCACGAGTTTACTTAATCTGCTAACGAGAACAAGACTCGGTGACCAAAGACCAATAATCTAGCTATTGATGCGTTCCAGCCCTGCTACCTAGGAGGAGAAGTCCAAGCTTGATATTGTCATGGGAAATTTTTAAACATTAATCAATGAGTTCATCAATTGACTGCTATTAATCATTTAATCGATAAGTTAATCGATATGATAATACTACAAAATGTATTTTGGGGATATATCGCCCCCAACATATACTGAGACGGTAGAAATAAATGACAATCGCCTGTCACTTTTATATTATGGGACAAACACTAATGCCTAATTAAATGTTATCACTAATGAATAAAACATTTATTTGTCCCCTTGAACGTTACATATCTAATTTGAACCTAAACATGGTTCATAATTGTGTAGCAAAGTAGTGTAAAAGATCAATTCAGAATTTGTTGAATGATTTAAATCAGTTTATATAATTATGTCGATTAACTAATGAAATGCACTTGACTGTATTCGGATCCATACCATGTTCTAGCATTAAAATATCCGACCAAGTATTTATGTGTGTATGTATGTATGTATCTGTGTATACACATGGAATGTGTTGTAAGTACTTTCAGGGACATTTTAATCAATAGAAGTGATGAGCTACGATTCAGAAAACATCTACATCAAATCAGTATTTATTCAAAATAAATTCAAAACTAAGAACTTTTTATGGGTTACGAATGGGTTCCAATGGTGCTCCCAATATCACAAATCTCAGGACTAAATATATATCCAGTTACAGTTATGAATTAATAAACTCTCATTTTTAGCACTTCCCCTCAGAAAATTCATTGAACACAAGGTATCCAATATGACTCAGAGATACTAAAAAAGATTGAATGACAACCGAGAGAAACAGCACAAACAAGAACGAAAATGTCGTGCAGTCAAAGCACACTATAGATAAAGACTATAACCGTCTAGGTACTTCGTTAGAAGTAGAAGGCAGTCAATTAAACAACAGAATAAATATAATAAAAAGTGAAGAGTTAGAATAATGTCAACGCCTTATGAAAATGAAACATACCAGTTACAAATGGAAAGCGGAAAATGACAAACTGAAAATGAACATATCAGACACGATGTAAATACACAAAATTAAGGTAGATTAATAGGCGAGTAGAGCATATTTGATAAGCATGATCGTTGTGTTATTTAGTTTGGAAAAACAACAAATTATTTAACTGATCATCTTTCCCAAGCTGAACACCAATAATAAATTCTCATTCTGACCAATGTATTATTTATTTAACTGGATTTAGTGGAATTTTTCAGGATCTTTATATGATTGATTATAAATGATTCAAGCTAGAATTTTCTGTTCAATGATATTCTTTTATTTTCAACATTGTAAACTGTCCACCTCCGACTACGAGATCTCTTACTTCAATTGCTGATCAGAATACGTACCAATCACACACAACCCTGTTACTTACACTATGGATCCAATTGTTATTAATCAAACAAATTACAGTTATTCGATCTTTGTTAACTTGACAGTGTTTATTTATCACGTAACAGAATAATTAACTTCTTGTATCATCGAAGCCTTATGAAGTTCAAATTGAATGAATGCGTATTTACAGAAAATAGTGACTTGATTTGAATAGGTTTGCAGTTCCAAACATAATATTTATGTTTTGAACTAACACAGGTATGATGACTCAAAAGGTGAAGATTATGTAAAGATTCTGTCGAAGTAGGAGACATTTGACTGCTTTTGTTTTATTTCAATAACTTTCCGCAGAGTTTTTGTTATCATGTAAATCAAAATAATTCAGAATAGCGAATTTCTGCGTTGGATCGGGGGTGGTTACTTCTAAACAATGGTCCTCAACTTGGATCAAATAATTGTTTATTGTTGGTCACCAAATTATTGAGTGACTTGAAAATATGAACAGGGAGGGGACTTTTCATACTATTCTGCATCAATGTTCATTCTGGCTTTATTTGTGTATTAATCGTTGGATTAGCCAAAGGATTCAAGTATTTATCGTTAGTTAAATCGAGCCACATATCTAATCAAAAATTTCATTATCAGTCGCTTTAATGTTAAAACTTACGTACCTATCTAAATATCAGCGGCTATAAAATAAACGGGCATACCGATAACCGCTACCTAATTAGTCAGTAAGATTTTAGTAAGAAGCAAAATACAGTTGTTGAGTGTTTGACACATAGCTGATATTATTTTGTTGCCGTAGATAGTGAACGGGTAAACAAGGGTAAGATTGATGTGACAGCTGATCGTAGCTAAGCATTGTCTAGGTTTTTCAAACACCCTACGAAACCAATGTGGTTAGTAAAGAGTAATTCCAAAACTAGTTTCTTAAAAATCTGATAAGAAGTCATGGTTTGTATTGAAAATAAGAACAGAATTGATACAATATTGCAAAATGACTAAGTAAAAATCTAATATGTTTGGTTCTGACTTATAGACTCAATCCTGTTATATTCTCCCTAGACTTGATGGTAATGTATTTGATACAGTGAGTGATACATTGTGTATGTACGTTGTTGAAGCTTCGCAGACCAGGATAGATTTTAATAGGTTACGGTGAAGCAAGAGATCATGTTCTAATCTATTGTGATATTCATTTAGTACATCATTCTTTTTTAATTTTAATTCAATGTGAAATTTGTATGGCAGTTGTTTAGTATAACGTTTGTTTTATTTCAATACAACCTTGTTTAATTTAATTTAATATGATATTCGTTAAGTTTTCATTCGATGGAAATCCCTCATTATATTCCCGATATTTTACACATGTATCATATTCATTGACTATTTATCAAAGATCTTTAAACTCTGGATAAATGAATACATTTGATTTAAAAAAAGGAGTTGTGATGTTTTTTGGAGAATACATAAAACCTTTATCTATAATCAATTTTATTTTCTCCTTTGTTCTGTACAAAATCTCAACTATCCTTAAATTAAAATCTAGTTCCTGTAATTCTAACAGAAAAACAATTACCCAGAACTTATTGCTTTCGATGATTTACACAACTGATATTAGTTGATAATGAAAATTAATTTGAAATATATTAACTAAATGAGAAATCCAAACTCAAGTTAAGATTTAATGTGTCTTAAATTTTACCGCAATATATATATGCTATAACTTGTGGCATGTGTGCCCTGTTAATGTATACGTAATGATACCGCCAATTAGAGAACAGTGAATTATCGATTGGACCAATGACGCATAAAACCCGTGCGAGCAGTCTAGAGTACTTATCGGTCCTGCTTCCTTCCTAGCCCCACCTGTTAGGTCCAGAACACCAATCCCAGCCTCTGCGATATGAATCATTTATTTCAAACATATTGGGTTTATATACTAACTAGACAGACCACATCGTACCATAAACTAGGAAACAACATTTGTACAAGATTTGGCCAAATGTGGTTGTGAATGTGGGCGGTAGTGATTAATAGACAGGGAATAATTCAAGAATGGAAAATCGTATAGTGACAGTTCATAGGTCAAAATGAAGCTTATGATAAGAGGAACACGAATACGAATAGTTTAGTTATTTAACAATTATACGATCAAAATATACGTATAGTATTGGTCCATAAATGGGTTCCAAAAGTTCCCATTCATTATTCTCATCGGGATATAACGATGTATATATAATTTATTTAAAAGTGTGTTAGATAGGCACATTATTGTTTTGTTAAAAGCTTGACAAGGTCAAATTCGTTGAAATTCGAAATATGTCCTGGGGTTTCATTTAGAAATAAACATACGTATATACAAATTATTTATTTCTAAATAATCCGCTTTTTATATTCAAGTCATATTTTACTCTGCTTATCTCATACTGATTTTGCTAGTTTCCTACTGAACAATTTAGTTGTTCAATATTTCCAATAAACATACAGTTTACTTAAAAATATATACAAATCGGAATGGGGGTATTTTAATTATGTGGATTTTTATGATTTATATCGTGTTATTCTTTCCATTTGTAAGGTCAATCTTATAATAAACTTAAATAAATCGAATTGTCTACGTATCACATTACTCATTAATTTTGAATTTCTTTTTAATGTTAATTTATTTGTTGTCAATAGTAACGACAATCTGTAATTTGATTGGTTTATATGTTGTTTGTATGAAAACATTCGAATTTTTTTTTAAAATTCTGTAAGGCAGATGTTTAAGAAAATCATTTTATGACCGTTTCATAGAGGAGCTATTATTTGATTTTACTAAGTCTTGTTCAAGTGAATCGACTCGGTGATAATATTAATTCGATCTATAAGTAAGTTCATTCTATCGAATTTGTGTTGCAAAGACTCTTAACTTCCATTTTGATTTCCATTAATTTTTTCTATGAACAAGTCATTCATGTGAAGATTTCTTAAAAATCATTGTTACTTATTTTGAATAAGTCAAAGTACTTCTATATTTAATGAAAGGTTTTGTTCGTTCATTTATTTCGAATTATAATTCAACAATTTACAGGACGAGTATTTACAGTAGATTAGTCATGTTATTAATAGTTAAACTGAGTACTGACAGAGGATGGAGACCTACTAGGTGACGTTTTAGAAATAATGTTGACAGTTCAAAACATATGCCAACCCTATTTATCGTATTCTTAATTTATTAAACATAGTATTTTGGATTTATTTATTCCTGACATTCCATACATGGTTTTAAAAACACATTACTGTGTAGCGTGGTGTCGAGTAGCGTTTGACTATAAACACCACTACAAGAAGACTACGTGCCAGTTAACCGATAAAATCCCCCGTAAGCCAAATATCAGAAGGCAGTTGATGGCTGTAGTCGAGATGTATTTGTTGGCGATCTCGTGGTATCGAAAAGATACCGAGATCGTGCCAAAGGAGTACAAGCGTGGTCACCGAGCGTAACCGAACTCGTGCAAGGTCACAATCGAAAGATAATTGAGCAGTAATATAGCCGTCTTTAGCACAGTTAAACAAACGAGCACAGTAAAACAATCACTGGTACAATTGGTTATAATAATGATTGTTTCCATTAAATCAATCCCGCTCTCTTGATAAAAGTAGGTCACTACAACTGCATGCTTATCAGCTACCACAGGGTTTATTTCACATTCCAAGAGAATATCATCATTGTTTTTGGCAGGCGAAAGATTTTTCAATGGATAGAACTTTATCAAAAGTAATCTATTTTGATAATTCTTTCAGTATGAATGTCATTTCCAGCTTCTCAAAAAACTAGGTACACTTTGAAGAGTCTCTGTTTTTACTGCAAAATTTTTGGTTAGCTAAATAAATGTTACAATTTTAATTGTCAGATCGAAAATCGCTTGCAATATAATTTACCCAGAATATATATTCTTATAGGACATTCTATGAAAATTCTCAAGATTCTTGAAAATCCTGTGGCCGAAAACCAAATACTTTCGAAAGCGTATTGATAACTGTAATTAATATAAAGTCATTTTCAATTTGGATATCATTATGTAGAGTAAAGACCAACACTATGAACTACAGTCTAAGTCTAGTAATTCCAGTAGGGTTGAGTCATGAGATACCTGAAGTTAATTGTGCGATGATATGATGAAAATCTAGCAAGTTAGTAACTTTTAATTTGATTCGCATCGAGAGATTTTAAACTTCCTGTTCAGGTAACTTGGAGTGACAGGAATCAATAATCGAAGATCATCTGTGATAGAAATCTGAATCAATCACACTGACAAATAAGTATATGCTAGTTAGTTATTCATTCACCGTAGAGCCTGTTCATTAAAATTCCATCGACGTTATGACTCAAGAAAACTGTCAATGGTTACTTATAAATGATAGATTTTTCTAAATATCTTAATCATACAGACTTTGGACTACGTACGTCAAGCTGTTTATTCTATTCAATATACATCCATTCAGTTTACCTATATGATTAAATCAATGTGATCTGTATCATACATTATCTACCACCCTTGAAGACGTGGATTTATTCGATTTTACAAAAGATTAACCATTTGTCTCAAAAATCTAAATTTTTAAATAAACTTGATATAACTTGAATACAGTGTTACTTTCACTTACAGTACAATAATATTAGAGAAGTTAGTCGGAACTGATCAATACCATTCAGCTCTTCATTTATTAGTTTTTAATTGCTCGACTCATTTGCATTCATTATTTTTCTTTGTTACAAAAATGTCTCATAAGCTTAAATGTTGTTTTGTCACAACTATATGCCCAACTTTAGAAGCGAGATTAAAGTTATACAATAATTTTTAATATATTACACTTCTATAATAAACGTTGTTTCAAAATTACGATGGAAGATAGTCGCACAATTTTGTGAATTGGTTGATGTTAGACATTAACACCATTGGATGCCGGCTCAGTGGTCCAGTAGGTTAAGCGTTCGCACGCGCGACTGAAAGCCCTGGGTTGGAATCCCGCGAGCGGGATCGTAAATGTGCACTGCTGAGGAGTCCCGCAATGGGACGAAACGGCCGTCCAATGCTTCCAGGTTTCCAACGGTGCTCTAACATCAATCGGTTCATGATCTCAATCAAAAAATCGAAATAAAATCAATCAGTTGTAAGTCAAATTAAATAACTAATTGACTACTAATAAGTAGTATTTAAACAATTTTCAAGATGTTTACTGATAAAAGCTTAAAAAAACAATTTTTTTCCGATAGTAATCAGAGAATAAAGAACAATTTTTATTATGTTCAAACACAGTTTGACTTGATTTTTTAAATGAAAGTGTAGTTGAAATCTTGGCTTAGAAATTAATGAAATGAACAAAAACGACATTAGGATATAAATTAACGGATCATCAAGATTGTTGTCAGTGTTAAAGAAGAAAACATTGAATTACAAAATGGCTGAACTTTGTTTACGAAAATATATGTCATTAGATTCTGACTTGATGGTTGAAGTTTCATGTTTGTTATTATACTTGGAAGATATTAAATTCATTACGATATGAAGTTAAGAGTGTTTATCCATTGAGAACTTTCAAATGTGAGGCAGAAACATATGAACCGTGAATTATTTGAACATAAAGAGATCTCATTGCAGAATATTAGATAGTCAGTAAAAAGTTAGCTCACAATATCCAAAATAGAGTCTAAATATCGTTTGAAATAAAATACATGGTTGAAAAATTTAACATCAATCAATTAAACCTGCTACCCTTCTTGAGTCATAGATGGTCAGTAAGAGATCTCCAAACAGATTTATCCTGTGCTCTTTTTTTCACTTGTTCATAAGTAGTTTTCATGGTCTTAATCTCCGCCTTCAGTCTTCAACGTCGTGTTCTTAGGTTCAACTTTCCCCCGTTTCCCTTGACGGTCACGATTTATTACTTGCCAGCTGGATTAAAATTTAGTTGTGCTGCTACTCCAACTTTTCAATGATTCTTTAGCTTGAGTTCTAGTTTGATCATCATTAGGTGATTTTCCGGAACTATATTTGCTCATCCATTTGTTGTTAAATACGGTATGGAAATTTTCAAATTTTTACTTATGCAAATGTGATAGATCTGGTTCGGTGAAACCCATACAGCTTTATGCATGCGCTTTTTGGTGTAAGTGGTGTCTGTTATGACCATATTGTTGACAGCATATTGACTTACCAGTTTCTCTCAATTCTCGCTCCATTCTTCCAGTTCATTTCACTGCACGATGTACTCACACCCAGTGTGTTCATAACGACCTTGACATTTGGTCAGGTCGTTTTCCTGAAAATGAACTGCAGCACTTCATAAAACTGGTTTTCGTCATCTTCGTTGACATAATTGGTGAGCGCGTTGCACCTTCTTCGTTTTAAAGAATGCTTTGATGATCCTGATGTGGCAGGTTCCCCATCCTACTAGTTTTTTGAAGTACTTTGGACATGACCATTGTTACTCGTTGTGTGTGTGGTGCAATTTCTTCTTCATAACTAAGATACAATAACAGCTCTTTTTGAGTTACTTTTCGTCCAGATTATATTTACTTATGCCAAGCGGAACAATGTTTTATCCTGTCATGTCTGCAGCTATTTGAATGACCCTTCTTGTCTCTCACATTGCTTAGACATTCCATGTAAATATATTAATTTTTGGCTTGAGAGTCAGGAGGGGCATAATTCTCGTTAATTCCGCAGAATGTCGGCATCCACCATGAGGCGTCTTAGCTTTTACGTATGGAGAATCTTTGACACCCAAGACAGAGTTTAAGTTGCTAAAGTTTATTCCGTTTAGCGTATTTTCAGTGGGGTTGCTTTTTATATATTTGGGTCACCGACCTTACCACCAACCCTTAAACTTTACTTGCGCTAGTGATCGGCAACAATCGCATATGGGCTCCCAGGGGATTTAAACACAGCTATATCGATCATCTGATAATAAAATACTTCTAATATTCCGATTCAATTTTCCACTTATTCGGTATTTTGCAAATACGTAACTTTTTCGTTTTTATAAAAGTCATGTGAATGCTCAGTTTATTTGAAACTATCAGGTCAAATCTTGATAGTAAAACTTACATCTTCCCTAATTATTAAAGGTAGTCATTTATATGATTGACTATCTAACATGTTTGTACAGAATCCTAAAATGTCAAGCATTTGGAGGCAGTTGGCAGAAGGATCTAGGCTGAGGATTCGAAGTTTTTAACATTTCTCAGCAAGGCGCACAGATGATTGACGAATCTGGTGTCTTTTCACGTGAGTCGAACATACGCCAACCAATCAGAAGCGTTAACACTTAAGTATTCTGGATATAAAGCATAACTTTCATCATGGAGTATAGTCACAGCTTACACAGTAATGATGTTTATAGATATTTGTAAATTAATAATTTTTTCTCTAGTTAGGGTATGTATATTTCAGTGGTTTATGAATAAACAAACAGATTTGGATTCTGAAAGTAGTTATTACAATAGTCTGGCCCCAACCTGAAGAATTAGTGGTTATTAAGGAGTTATGGTCAGCTATATTTTTGCAGTTTAGGAAGTTCTAGTAGAATACAGTGACTAGTAAAAGCAGCCAAATAAGTAGCCAAAAAGTGCTTACCTGTGTCATCAAACGACAGTATTGTTGTACACTGAATTTACTGGACTTGACAAATTTGAACCATAGGATCTCAACTAAGAAGCTGTGAAACTTCAAACCCTTGCTTCGAATTTCTGAGATGTCATTGCCTGAATACAATTTAGGTCAAGACGTTTGTTCATTCCGAGTTTGACTTGTCTCTTATAAGATCATTATTTTATTTCGGCAATCATCCATAAGCTGCGAGGCTAACAATATCGATTATACAGTTTAGAAATTGGATAGACTACGTCATTTTTATTGGTCGATTGTACTGTTATGTTTAGAATCATTGGTGCAAATTGAACCAATAAACGAATGTAATCTTTCTAATCTGTGAAACAATTTTGACTTCAGTTTTTTTACCTAATAAATCTATTAAGTAAAGTAGGGTGGTGAATAACAGTGGAATCTAGGATGCTTGTTTTCCTCTGTTTGTTACTGGTCAACTGGATGTACCTTCATACCAGTAGGGATGCTCACTGTAGGACTAAGCGATTTCAGTCCTCAATATCTACGGAAAGATATAAAAATCTACAAATGAAATTCCAGAAGCAAATGACTATATGAACTCTTTAGCCCAGTGGATAATACCCTTAAAGTTTGAAGAGAAAGGTATTGTGTTGGAGTCCCTGTGTGAATACCAGCACTTGGATGAATGTATATCCAGCTAAGCACCATTAAATAGAATTAAACTCTCTTTCTTGATTCGAAAGTTAGCTACTATACAACTTTACTCTAATACTGCCAATATGTTGCAATATCGAGGCAATCTGCCCAGGATGCACATGCACCAAAAGTTAATGAACAATTGCAGTATTTCATACTAGCGTCAAGATACAAGCACTTACAAATTACAACTGACTGATCACTAAGTAGTGGCCAATGCCATGTATGTCAAGTCCTTCTATATTTCCAATCGAATTATATCGACCAAGTTAAAATGGGGGCGCTATTCTAAGTGACCAAACATTGCGTGCACTATGTTGCAATGTAAGGGTGATTGGAAGATATCCTGCCCACTATCTCCAACCACTAATTTACCTAAAAATTAATATAGTTTAATTTGTGAATGGATATTAAAAGGACCACCAATCAAAACCTGTAAGCACTGGATGACTGTTTCATCCTAGTATGAGACTTATCAGCAGTGTAAGTTCATGATCCCCCCTTTTCTAACGCATTAAGTCTACTTAGTTGTGACAATTAGTTTGAATCAACCAAATGGTATATTGAGAAGGTTATCAACTCAGTACTTTCAAGTTTTGAAGGTGACCAGTATTGAATTGACTGTTATTAGACTTCAGAATCTCTTATTGCTTGTGTACTGATACGAATCGATTAACTTCTCGTTATAAACATATTTCAATGCTCCTAACCACAATATTAAAATGTCACCCGTTTAGAAGTGAAATTGAGAATCCATGTCTAGTACATTATAAGTTTGCCTGCATAATTCATATACATCTCAATTGGTACTTTCTTCAAGGTCCAAAGTGTTTTTCACAAGATGCGTTACAAGATCAGAGAGTTAACCCCTATGGATGAAAAGAAACAGGTGTTACCATTCATTTTATCTCATCATCGACTACGGATTATTTCTTTTTAGTAAGCGAACAAATATGTAATCACTAACGAAAGGAGCTCATTATGTCATTGATGGAGAAATAATGACTATATATATAGCATAATTAAGAATTATTCTCAACTGAAAATCTATACGCACTATCAAGCACTTTTGTATGTTTACTGGGTCTTATGTGGATAGGTTACATTGTGGTGTTTGTGTCATTAAATACACTGCCATGTTTCCTAATAGTTGGAACATTAATGCCATGTATTTCTTACCTAACAATGAGCAAAAATCTTTTATGATCATGTGATTTAAATCTATGCTTACGTGCTGAATCACTAGGATCACGCTCTATGAATAATCTATATGTTTTTGAATTAGTTAAGAAAGTCTATATTTACACATGTATTACAAATCACATGAGAAGAAAAGTACAGGGTAGACCTTGAACTACATTTTAGCCAACGTGAAAATAGTGTTTAGTTATGAAACGTTATATAACAAACCAGTAATAAAATCATAACATGAATAGCAAATTTTAATGTTTGAATTATCAAGGTGTTCATCAAGAACTGAGATTAGTTGTAATGTCAGACCGAGTTTCGCACCGAAATCTGATTGATTCATTTGAATCATTTCGTACATGTTACACATATATATGTCACTGTAACACCCTAACCAAGGTTACTAAGGTGTTAATTATTTGAAGAAATTACCATAGTAAAACTGTACACATTCATTTTAAATTGAATTTCAAAAGAAAAAAAAACTAGGTGATCTTAACAGTTTTTTTTTTTTAGTTTCTTAATTAATTTTCTTGACGATAATTAAATGAACATACTGTCTAACTTCTTTGGGCAAACACAAATATTTGAATTAAAGATCATTGAGATGCTAGAATAGATGTATTTTTAGTATTCAACAATAATATGGAACATTCAGTGATAATGAAATTTTTTTTGTATTCCAGTTAGTAATTGTATCTTGTATTCAATTTAGAAATAAAATAGTATAGGGAAACATCATGTTTGGTATAGATTCAAATTGTCCTATTCAACTCGTTTATTGATTATTTATATCTCACAAACTAGTTGAAGTTGTAACTGTGGACGTAAAAAAGTGATATCAATCGTAAAACTGGAACATTTTAAGTTTCATTGAAAGTAAGTTTAAAGATGTATACTCCTCAGTAGGATCCAGTTAGAATGTACCAGCTGTTAAATGTGTTCCTTAAGATCACGAATTTTAGTGTCGATGATACATTTAGTCCACTGAGTGAGAGAACCCACTAGTCCATACACTCAGTTGCAATCAGTTTATAAAATTAATCAGTGATAAAATTTTCCATATTGAAGTAAAACAGATTATTTTACAAAATTCTTTCCATCCGACATCAGTTTATAATGACAATAATCATGAAGAAATGTTAAAATTCTGAATAATATCTTACTTACTTACGCCTGTTACCCCTCGCAAAGGAGCATAGGCTACACACCAGCATTCCCACCCATCTCTGTTCTGAGCTATCCTATCCAGTTGTTTCCATTTGCTATTCATCCTATTCATGTCTGCTTCAAATTCTCGACTCACTGTGTTGTTTGACCTTCCACTTTCTCGTTCCCCTTCAGGATTCGAAGTTGGTGTTTACTTTGTGATGCAGTTCAATGATTTGCGTAATGTATGTCTTATTCATCTCCATCATCTTTTCCTAATTTCCACTTCAATTGGAAGCTGGTTTGTTCTCTCCTACAGTAGGCTGTTGTTGATCGTATCCGACCAACAGACAATGAGTATCTTGCGTATACAACTGTTTATAAATACTTGTACCTTCTTGATGATGGTTGTTGTAGTTCTCCGAGTTTCATCTTCATACAATAGAACTGTCTTGACGATCGTATTGACGATTCTGACTTTGATATTGGTTGACAGTTGTTTTGAGTTCCATGTGTTCTTCAGTTGTAGGGATGCTGCCGTTACTTTGCCAATCCTCACATTTACGTCTGCATCGAATCCTCCTTGTTCATCGATGATGCTTCCCAGGTACGTGAATGGTTCCACCTATTCCAGAGCTTCTCCATCAAATATGACTGGGTTTGTGTTCTCCGTGTTGTATTTGAGGATCTTTCTCTTTCCTTTGTGTATGTTGGGGTTTACTGCAGCAGAGGCTGCTGTCACCATGATTGTCTTGACATTCATTTTCTCGTGTGTTTGGAATAGAAGGGTCAAGTCATCATTTTAACAATAATAATATTTACAATAACTATAAATACACTTTTTCTATTCATTTAATTTCTTACTATTTATTCTATTTTTAGAAGAGAATAAATACATGAAATTATGCCAACTGTATGTTTGGAAAAAAGTACGCCAAAAAACAATATAGCACGTAAAGAATATAATAAATTAATTGGTGAACTAAACAATGAAATTGATCGACTTTCAACACAGAATAAAAGTTTAATTGAAAAATTAGCAATTACAGAAGATCAAATTACTGTCGGTAGAAGAAATGAAAGAGATTTAGGTAAGTATTTTGGTAGAGTAATTAATTACTATTTAGAGAAAAAAAATCGATTCATCTCGTCTGACCTCGTTACTGTGGAACTCATTTTATTCATATAGCAGAGGTCATAGGAATCCACTTCAATATATCTAACGTTTTTGGATATTAGGCGGTCGTCAGTGTTTGCTACTTTTTGTGAGTTTCCCATATGTGTGTCTTAGCAAGCTACATGAGCGAGAAAACCAAATATGAGTAGAAGGCTTTTATTGGCTAACCGAATCAAGAGTTTATTCACTCTCATTCCTGAGAAAATGAATCATAAGAAGCTAAATTAGGCAACCAGTGAAGTTAATCTATTCTGATGAATATCAGATAGGCCAGAATCTCAAGTTAATTCAGATGTTAGAAAATGTATCCTTACTTGATACAGTTTTTACTTGTCAGTAGTCAAATCATACGGTAGATCATATCAATGACTTTTAAGATCTAATTATTGTACACTCTATTAGTTAGTTAAATTCTAATCTGCAGAAAGAAAATTAACCAGATGATCTTTTTAATGCCAATATTTTCCATACTATTAAAGTTTTCCTTACTAATTTTTATTAAACAAAATTGACTATCATAGTATTTGTTTATTTTATTTTCTCTGAATTAAGAAAACCATAATAAAGCTTTAGTTGAAGAATTATGTCAATTGAGTAAAGTAAATTTAACATTGAAGGATGAACGTCGACATGAAATTGATTTAATTGAAGAAGAAACTAAACGTCTTCGTATTCAACTTGATGATGCTGTTCGATTGAAAATGGAAGCAGAAAAAGAAATTCAAAAATTAAATATGGTCAGTGATGGTAGACTTTTCTTGTGTATCTAAGTGTATCTTTTTCTGTACGAGAAAAACTAACCAGTATAGACAATAACAAGCGGTGGTTGGACGAATTGTCATACTGAGGTTTGATCATTACTTGAGTCTTGTGATTGCATGGATGAATGGGTTACCATTCAGATAAGCAAAAATGGATAGTGGCTAAAAGTTGAATCTAGGATGCACGTTTTGTTCTATTTGGGACTGGTCACTTAGACATACCTTTATCCCAGAATTGATGTTAACTCTGGAACTCGAACCTAATATCGTTCGATTCAGACGCCATCGCGTTATCGACTTAGCTACTGGGTTCAGATAGCCACTGGCTTGTGCAGATAATTGCAATCCTAAGAATCGATGAGAAGATTCAAACAACTAATACAAATAAATTATCATTCAGATGGCTTTTTCACTAAGGTTATCACTCTTTTCAGGATTCTTGATTATTTTTATTATTATTTAATTATCAATAAGTTAACTATTCATATGGGTATATTCCTTTCCAATATTTAGACAAAGTTAATAAGACATGTGCATGTTTCTTAAATATAGAAGTCTCTACTAGATTTTTACATTTGTTGATCAATATATTTTAACTATATTACGAACAAGTTAATAGAACTGTTTGGAATCCTTAATTGAGACTGGGTTATAAAATCAAATCAGTTTTTAATCAATAGCTGAATTCGTTCTGTCTAATTTATGAAGAACTCTATCATATTCGGGATGAGGCCATCATATCAAATGATCTCCAATTTGTGATATACTAAATTTAATGTTGAATAACTAAGAACTATAGAAAGCTACTATTTTCTACTTCACTATATTCCTTGATTGTATATATCCCTTAGACATATATCCAGAGTTAAAGGAATTCCATAATACTGTTAACAGTCGAGACTTATATCCTTTTTAGTTACAATTAGAGATATTATAATTGATATGTATTACTTACAGTTGATATCTTGTCAAACTACATAAAATATTGTAATCAATCATGAGACATTAGTAAGTACTAATTAGTTAGATCTTAGTGAATAATTGAGAGATAGAATTTTTAGAACTATGATACAGAGGTCTATTATATATACATATTTTTACTGTATATGTATTAACTACTTAATTTTTAGTATTTTTCAGTTCACTCATTAACTGTTGCTATATATTTTGCCGTTCCTTAATTAACTGAAGACTTAGTGCACATTTTAATATGAAATATGATTAGCTATGTACACACTATGATGTCTTATTTGTGGTGTGTTGTGGTTATGTAACTGATGTATCCATTTGTTATAACTTGTCAGTTGAATGCTACTTGTTACATCTGGTCGTCGCTGATTGTTATGTCGGAAACGCTTAACACTCATACTCGGAACGAGGGACCTCCACAATTCCCATGACGCGAAAGTAAGAACACAAAGGCTAGTCTAAGTGAAGATTTATTAACCGCGAAACACGATGACGACCCTAATGGAAAATAAACTCATTTATATATTGATTGTTCACCCATTTTGATTAATAATTAGGATGAAATCACATATATGGAAAATACTCAGTTATAACAAATCACATAGTTCATGTCAATTGAATACTTGAATATCGTATATTATACAGGATAAAACATCATACGATAAAACAACTACTACACTGAATAATCACCGCATTGAGTCAAAATGGAAGTAATGTTGGATAAAACACATAATGAGTAAATCGATGGAAAATTGATTTTTCTTCTCATCATATCACCATTCCTATGAGTTTTTGACGCAGGATGATATGATAAAAGACGACGAATCTGCTAGCCATTTCTGTCTTCCGATCTGTAATTATGGATGGAAGGTGATGAGTGGAAGAACAGTAGTTACGATTTCAGTGTGTTTTCGGTTAAAGAGAAAGTTAATGGTCCCAGACACAAAGCCAACTAGTTATAAGTGGACTCTGTAATCAAATATTTCTAATTAGTGATCTAAAATAGTTGAATTCATAACACAATCCAACCGGTTTTCAATGTTAATCAAAATCTAGATATCCAGTAATAATTATACGGTATACTAGAACTAAATCTTAGAAATAAAGACAGAATTAAACAGAGAGCTGCGGTGTTTGAATGAACTAATGATTCCTTTGTACTTGTTGAATGCTTGATTTCGAATTCCAAATACAGTACATTCGTTCGTGCTTTTCTGGTACTTCTTGATCCGATTACGTTATTTCTGGGATTCGTAGCTCGTACTATAATTCAAATACTCCTAATCATCATAAGAACTTAAACACAGATGTGTGTTTTTCACAAAACTAAGGAGTTTTTGACCTTTATTTTCATCCTTACCTAACCATTCACTACACAGATTTATTATTCTGGACATAAATGATTATATTTGATTCCTTAATAATAGACTCGATCAATGTTGTTTACTCTGAAGAAACAACTTAAATTAGGTCGCGAAACGTTAGAAATACAATTTTCCCTCATTGGGATATAACAAAGAGTATATATCTATTGTTAATTTATTAATGGTTTTATTTCCTATTACTAACATACACTTGTTACTCCTCGAGAAGAAGCATAGGTCAACTCTGAGGGCAGAGTTTAGATAGTTTAATTTGTTTATTCTGGTTGGTCTTTTTTTCTCAGGGTTGTTTTCCACGTGATGGGGTTGCTGACCCGATGCCAAATCATCCTCATTTACCCAGTCCTGGGACCGGCAGTAACCCTTTAAGAGCTACAGGAGGAGATTTTATTTCCTGTTATGGTGTACATATTTGTGTACATAAAAAAAGCAAAAATCCAATGTCATCTCACAAATATGATCAAAGATATGTTTCATGATTATTTCTGAGTTGATTTATGTCAGATACTAAACTGAATAAACTCTAGAAAGTCTAACCTTTTAGTTTTCAAGCAGAGTTTTCTTTATTTGTCCTATGTCAGAATCATCACCATATCTCCTGACGATATTGAGTTTATTCACCTTGAGATATATGAATATATATTAGTGGAAAGTTTCAGTATCATTTAAAATAGATTTTTAATACTCCCTTACGTTGAGTAATTAGTTAAATGACGTCAACCTTTGGTGGAAATTTAAAACTAAACTAACTAAGACCGTGAAAAACCGAAATTCTATACAATGCATAATAACCATATATTGAAAATAAATTGTAAATCTATCAAGATGATTTGTAACGTTTATTACCAATTAAGGTATTCTAAATGATATGATTTTGGTAAGACAGCCGTAGACATTGAAAGGCTACCTGAATGTTGAGTTTATTTCATTTTAATAAATGATCATTACCTTGTCATATTTAATGACTAAGGTAGTTAGGACACACGTGTTACTCATGCCTAACAACCGACTACCTCAACGAGTGATGTTTGTTGGTGTAGAAGTAGGATAGAAGAAAGCTGGAGGAAGTCAGTCCATGAAGTCATTAAAAGTCGATCTTAATCATGTCTTTTCATAGTCTTTTTCCCTACCATATTTGTCATGTTCAGGCTTCCTCACTATCACTGACACTATGTTATAGTGATTTCTTTTCTATACATCTCGTTAATTATATCTGTTCGTAATGATGTGGTATGGCAGTTTAAGTCATTGTACGTTTTTACCAGACTTTACATTTTTTGTAATAACGGATATTATTATTATTATTATTATTATTATTATTATTATTATTATTATTATTAAGTCAATAAGATAACAGTTAACACCATGTTTATTATTTCTTACCACCCATTTCCTGTTTGTATCTAACTAGACAAATTTCACCTAGATTGTTAATGAAATATTTTTAAAATAATCACCGGACTCGTTGATTGTTTCTTGTAAAAGTCGATAAACTCTATTTTTAGTACTAGATATTATTAAACATTTTTGTTAATCAGCGTACAAACTAAACTTTTCCCAGTTTTTCAATCAAAAAAACTACTTCGGAGAGACTGTAATTTATCGACGAACCAATCAGATTTAGGATAAGAGGTTTTGAATTTCGCCGCGAAATTCATTCATCCGTTTGGCGATAAATAACGTTTTGACATTATAGCTGATGTCCGTTCGTGATGAAAATTTTAAATCTAATTCCTAACCTTAACCATCAACTGTAAATCATAATTCTAATTCCTCATTTTGATTTATAACCATCATTTAGTTCTAGTTAGTAGGTGGATATTCTGAAGGTCATTTAAGCGTCGATCAAAGGTCGTCCATAAATTAAAGTCTCACCATTACTCCAATCAGAAACATCATCACTCTGACTAAACATACACACTAAAATCATGTTACAAGTAAACTTTAATGGCTAGATTTGTTCACTAATATGGGATAATTCTGTATAAATTGGTTATTTAATTAATCTGACTGGTTTTGATAAAGATTTTCACTATATTGATCACCTAACAAAGGATCTCCAAAAAGCTTCAGCAGATTTTACAGAAGAACCCATATGTGATCGAAATCAAAGCTTTCAAGTTTAGTGAAGAGTATGATATCATAGAGTCTCAAAGATAAAATTCTATCGAATATATTTAACAACTTCAGTGAATAACACAAGGATCACATAATATTATCAATGAGTTTTAGTTTTACTCTTGATGTTACTGATTTTACACAACTTCACTAAAAATTCGAAAAGTCTATCTCGAAGCCATAATCAGTAGTGAAAAAAGGACTCTACTAAATAGGTTAAGTAACTTGTATCAGTTAAATATGGATTTTTATGACAGATTAACATTGATTGCTGATTACAGTACGGTATGGGAAATGAGCTTCAGCGATCCTTAAAATGTTTCTAAAGTAGCTTTCCAGCCAATCAATATAGAGTCAGTATAAGTTAAAGGTGTTCCTCAACAGAAATAAAGAATCCTGTTATATTTTAGTGGTCATGAGAAGTTGATCAATAGTTTTACCATCTTCGTTTTTGCAAGAATATAGTTACGTAATATTGTTAATTTAAATGAGAATTTATTCATGCTA